ACCACAAAAAAGAACACTGACCACACAAACAGTACACTGACCACATAAACAGTAAACTGACCACACAAACAGTACAAAGACTGGCCACACAAACATTACAAAGACAGACCACACAAACATTACAAAGACTGACCACACAAACAGTACACTGACCACACAAACAGTACACTGACCACACAAACAGTACACTGACCACACAAACAGTACAAAGACTAACCACACAAACAGTACACTGACCACACAAACAGTACACTGACCACACAAACAGTACAAAGACTAACCACACAAACAGTACACTGACCACACAAACAGTACAAAGACTGACCACACAAACAGTACACTGACCACAGAGACAGTACACTGACCACACAAACAGTACACTGACCACACAAACAGTACAAAGACTGACCACACAAACAGTAAACTGACCACACAAACAGTACAAAGACTGGCCACACAAACAGTACACTGACCACATAAACAGTACAAAAACTGACCACACAAACAGTACAAAGACTGACCACACAAACAGTTCAAAGACAGACCACACAAACATTACAAAGACTGACCACACAAACAGTACAAAGACTGACCACACAAACAGTACACTGACCACACAAACAGTACACTGACCACACAAACAGTACAAAGACTGACCACACAAACATTACAAAAAATGACCACACAAACAGTACAAAGACTGATCACACAAACAGTACACTGACCACACATACAGTACACTGACCACACAAACAGTACACTGACCACACAAACAGTTTACTGACCACACAAACAGTTCACTGACCACACAAACAGAACAATGACCACACAAACAGTACAAAAACTGACCACACAAACAGTACAAAGGTACATAGATAGTGGGACATAGGGTTAACGAAAGGTACTTAGAGAGTGGGACATAGGGTTAACCAAATGTACTTAGAGAGTGGAACAAAGGGTTAACCAAATGCATTTAGAGAGTAGGACATAGGGTTAACCACAGGTACTTAGAGAGTGGGACATATGGTTAACCAAAGGTACTTAGAGAGTGGGACATAGGGTTAACCAAACGTACATAGAGAGTGGAACGTAGGGTTAACCTAAGGTACTTAGAGATTGGGACATAGGGTTAACCAATATTTAGAGAGTAGGACATAGGGTTAACCAAAGCTACTTAGAGAGTGGGACATAGGGTTAACCAAAGGTACTTAGAGAGTGGGACATAGGGTTAACCAATATTTAGAGAGTAGGACATAGGGTTAACCACAGGTACTTAGAGAGTGGGACATATGGTTAACCAAAGGTACTTAGAGAGTGGGACATAGGGTTAACCAAACGTACATAGAGAGTGGAACGTAGGGTTATCCTAAGGTACTTAGAGATTGGGACATAGGGTTAACCAATATTTAGAGAGTAGGACATAGGGTTAACCAAAGCTACTTAGAGAGTGGGACATAGGGTTAACCAAAGGTACATAGAGGGTGGGACATAGGGTTAATCAAAGGTACTTAGCGAGTGGGACAAAGGGTTAACCAAAGCTACTTAGAGAGTGGGACATAGGGTTAACCAAAGGTACTTAGAGAGTGGGACATAGGGTTAGCCAAATGTGCTTAGAGAGTGGAACAAATTGTTAACCAAAGGCATTTAGAGAATAGGACATAGGGACCAAAGGTACTTAGAGAGTGGGACATATGGTTAACCAAAGGTACATAGAGGGTGGGACATAGGGTTAATCAAAGGTACTTAGCGAGTGGGACATATGGTTAACCACAGGTACATAGAGAGTGGTACATAGGATTAACCGAAGGTACTTAGAGGGAGGGATATAGGGTTAACCAAAGGTACTTAGACAGTGGGTCATATGGTTAACCAATAGTACTAAGAGGGTGGGATATAGGGTTAACCAAAGGTACTTAGACAGTGGGTCATATGGTTAACCAATAGTACTAAGAGGGTGGGACAAAGGGTTAACCAAAGGTACGAGAGGGTGGTACATAGGGTAAACCAAAGGTTCTTAGAGAATGGTACATAAGGTTAACCAAAGGTACTTAAGGAGTGGTACATAGGGTTAATCAAAGGTACTTAGAGAGTGGGACATAGGGTTAACCAAAGGTACGTAGAGAGTAGGACACAGGGTTAACCAAATGTACTTAGACAGTGGGACATATGGTTAACCAAAAGTACATAGAGGGTGGGACATAGGGTTAATCAAAGGTACTTAGCGAGTGGGACAAAGGGTTAACCAAAGGTACGAGAGAGTGGAACATAGGGTTAATCAAAGGTACTTAGAGAGTAGGACACAGGGTTAACCAAATGTACTTAGAGAGTGGGACATAGGGTTAACCAAAGGTACATAGAGAGTGGGACAAAGGGTTAGCCAAATGAACTTAGACTGTGGGTCATATGGTTAACCAAAGGTACATAGAGAGTGGGACATAGGGTTAACCAATGGCATTTAGAGAGTAGGACATAAGGTTAACCAAAGGTACTTAGAGAGTGGGACATAGGGTTAACCAATGGCATTTAGAGAGTAGGACATAGGGTTAACCAAATGTACGAGAGAGTGGGACATAGGGTTAACCAAAGGTACTTAGAGAGTGGGACAAAGGGGTAACCAAAGGTACGAGAGAGTGGAACATAGGGTTAACCAAAGGTACATAGAGATTGGGACATAGGGTAACCAATGGCATTTAGAGAGTAGGACATAGGTTTAACCAAAGGTACGAGAGAGTGGGACATAGGGTTAACCAAATGTACTTAGAGAGTGGGACAAAGGGTTAGCCAAATGAACTTAGACAGTGAGTCATATGGTTACCAAAGATACTAAGATAGTGGGACATAGGGTTAACCAAAGGTACTTAGAGAGCGGGACAAAGGGTTAACCAAAGGTACTTAGAGAGTGGGACATAGGGTTAACCAAAATTTTCTTAGAGAGCGGGACAAAAGGTTAACCAAAGGTTCTTTGAGAGTAGGACACAGGGTTAACCAAATGTACGAGAGAGTAGGTCATAGGGTTAACCAAAGGTACATAGAGGGTGGGATATAGGATTAACCAAACGTACTAAAAATAGAGACATAGGGTTAACTAAAGGTACTTAAGGTGGAGCCATAGGGTTAACCAAAGGTACTTAAAGGCTGGGACATAGGGTTAACCAAAGGTACTTAAAGGGTGGGACATAGGGTTAACCAAAGGTACTTAGAGGGTGGGATATAGGGTTAACTAAAGGTACTTAGAGAGTGGGACATATGGTTAACCAAAGGTACTTAAAGGGTGGGACATAGGGTTAACCAAATGTACTGAGAGGGTGGGACATAGGGTTTACCAAAGGTACTTAGAGAGTGGGACATAGGGTTAACCAAAGGTACTTAAAGGGTGGGACATAGGGTTAACCAAATGTACTGAGAGAGTGGGACATAGGGTTAACCAAAATAATAATCAATATCCGAATCAATAATCAATACACGAACTAATTACTTTATTTAACGGATTTTACGTGTATCATTACAGCCTTTCAGTGGATGAGAACTAATAAATTCAACGATAAAATCTTTATATACTTCTCTCATTTACATTGTAATACACTCGTTAGATACGGTGTAAACATATAAATAGCAACATTGGGTAAAATTCATGTCACATGTTTAATGCCAATATTAGCACAGGGCTGTTCTGATGTCAAATTAATTTTTTATCTCAAGATGTTTAAAGATTAATATAACGAGAAATAATGGTATGTGTAAAATCATGATATGTGCTGTCACAATCAGTTCAGTAATAAAGGTAGGTGTACTACATGTAGGTAGTCAGCATATCATCGTCCTACAATGTTTGACTAGTACCTGTGTCCCGAAATTACCGTTAGTCATTGTCACATGTCCCGAAATAAACTCTATATTTATCGATATTTTTATTTCAAGAAATAATGCAAGTTAAGACAATAAATAATGAAATACACAGCAGACCTTTACCTTCATATGTGTGATTCTTTCTTCTTTATTTCGAAATATATTCACTTCCCTAGCTTGCTTATTAAACGTTATTTCTATATCCATATTCCCTCCCTTTTCATTTTTTCCCTACAGAAGCTAAAATTCTAGCAAATATTTAAAAATGGAAACGGATGGGTATCACGAAGTTAAACTCGTCTTGTCCGAACAAGAGATGTGGATTAACAGTTGATTTTCAGGTTGTATACGTACCGTGTGTATGATAAAGAATATGAAAAAGCATGATTGAAGTAAAAAGGGAAAGAAAATATCTGTTGATTATGATGTAAAAAAAGAACATATTTATTTGTTTGTTCATGAAATGTCAGCAAACTTTTTGTTTTGTTTTTATTTCTAGCAATTTCCGTTGAGCTTCAGTCTGTTTGATTGTTTCGTACATGCCATCACTTATTTCTATGTGTCCTGCAAAAATGTCATAAAGGAATGAATGCATGATAAATTTTCCCTTTCTTATTCTAGATTTACCGAAAAAACGAATTTCAAAGTCCGTGTCAAGCCACATCTGTTTCTTTATGAATTAAATAAGGTTAAGCTGTCGAACAGAAACTACCAATATATACCATTTCCCCCTTTATTTCCTCCAGAAATGATGTTTATAAATAGAAAGGCATACTTAGCATACAAAGTTACTTTAGATGTTGAAATTACATTTCAGAATTAATAGTTATTAATTGGTTAACGCTGTTTGAGCATTTCATACAAAAAATCATAAATTTGCTAATTTGAAATGTTCTACATCTTCATTAGACATATCATAGTTTAATACACTTCCTAATAAGGTATTAGGCTATGATCAGTACAAAAAGCTAAGCTAAGCCATGTAATTCTCTCGCGTTGTTGAAGTACGTTATGGCCCAAACCGGCCACCATACTTTTAAATCTACCTGTATGACACCCAACACTCTTGTAGTCGTCGTCTGCATGCAGACAGATCCCCTTCAGTGACCTATTTGCTATGTGTCAATACACGATACAAGTATAGGTGAATGGCTTGGCTATTGCAAAATTCTCCCCAAGAGTGGTCAACGGGGCGTGGAGTGCTGGGTATACCTATGTGTAGTCTTTAGATTTCAGGTAGGATACGGGGTAACGCTCGCTAGCAATGTCGAGAATTGGAGCCATGGATGACGGTAAGTGTCGCTCATACGAGCAACCCTTGTGAATTTATCAACAGTATATAAAAGCGATAAAATGATGGTTGCTAATCACAAAGAATACCGATAATACACGATGTAGCAGTGAAATATGTATATAAAGTGATAAACATCTATGGGACGTATATTGTATGTGCAATGTAAATGTCAACACGGAAAGTAACTTGTCCGGTGGGTATCACAAACTGTCTTAGTAGAAACGTAACGTAGACTTCTCGTATCGAATGGTTTTACCCATTTTGTAAAATGTCCTAATCATAGATTTATACCTTTATGTACCGTCAGATGACATTGTTAACATAATCTGCTTACGATTAATACGTACATTAGAACTGTGTTTCTGTTGATGCATGCCTCTAACGGACTCCAACGTTTATGTAGAGGGTTAGTATACCACTGTTTCTTACTACATACCACTAATTTGTTTAAGGATGCAATATATGCACAAGGTCTGTAAGATATAAAAATCATTTACCGACTACAAACGAGGTATCTATCAAACAGGTCTGTCAACAAGCTAATGCCATCTTTAATTATGCATTTCTTTATTTCATCAATAAGATGTGCTTCCTTTTCCATAATGTAACACCCTTCTCATCAATAAAATCTGCTATCATACTTTCCATTACACTGTATGGAACATCCCTCCTCCTACCCTCATCCCCAGCATCAATAAGCTCTGCTTTCATCCTTCTATAATATAACTCCCTCCCCATCAATAAGATCTTCCACCATCCTATCTATAATATAACTCCCTCCCCATCAATAAGATCTTCCACCATCCTGTCTATAACATAACTCCCTCCCCCATCAATAAGATCTTCCACCATCCTGTCTATAATGTAACTCCCTCCCCCCATCAGTAAGATCTTCCACCATCCTGTCTATAATGTAACTCCCTCCCCCCATCAATAAGATCTTCCACCATCCTGTCTATAATATAACTCCCTCCCCTTCCCCATCAATAAGATCTTCCACCATCCTGTCTATAATATAACTCCCTCCCCATCAATAAGATCTTCCACCATCCTGTCTATAATATAACTCCCTCCCCATCAATAAGATCTTCCACCATCCTATCTATAATATAACTCCCTCCCCTATCAATAAGATCTTCCACCATCCTGTCTATGACTCCCTCCCCCATCAATAAGATCATTTGATATAACTTCCTCCCCATCAATAAGATCTTCCACCATCCTATCTATAATATAACTCCCTCCCCATCAATAAGATCTTCCACCATCCTATCTATAATATAACTCACTCCCCCATCAATAAGATCTTCCACCATCCTGTCTATAATATAACTCCCTCCCCCATCAATAAGATCTTCCACCATCCTATCTATAATATAACTCCCTCCCCTATCAATAAGATCTTCCACCATCCTGTCTATAATATAATTCCCTCCCCATCAATAAGATCTTCCACCATCCTATCTATAATATAACTCCCTCCCCATCAATAAGATCTTCCACCATCCTGTAACTCCCTCCCCCATCAATAAGATCTTCCACCATCCTGTCTATAATATAACTCCCTCCCCATCAATAAGATCTTCCACCATCCTATCTATAATATAACTCCCTCCCCCATCAATAAGATCTTCCACCATCCTGTCTATAATATAACTCCCTCCCCATCAATAAGATCTTCCACCATCCTGTCTATAATGTAACTCCCTCTTCCACCATCCTGTCTATGACTCCCTCCCCCATCAATAAGATCTTCCACCATCCTGTCTATAATATAACTCCCTCCCCCCATCAATGATCTTCCCCCATCAATAAGACCATCCTATATGTAACTCCCTCCCCCATCAATAAGATCTTCCACCATCCTGTCTATAATATAACTCCCTCCCCCATCAATAAGATCTTCCACCATCCTGTCTATAATGTAACTCCCTCCCCCATCAATAAGATCTTCCACCATCCTGTCTATAATATACCTCCCTCCCCCCATCAATAAGATCTTCCACCATCCTCAATAACATCTATAATATAACATCCCCCCCCATCAATAAGATCTTCCACCATCCTGCCTATAATATAACTCCCTCCCCAATCAGTAAGATCTTCCACCAAGATCTTCCCCCCACCATCATGTAACTCCCCCTCCCAAATCAGTAAGATCTTCCACCATCCTGTCTATAATATAACTCCCTCCCCCATCAGTAAGATCTTCCATCACCCTTTCTATAATGTAGCTCCCTCCCCCATCAATAAGATCTTCCACCATCCTGTCTATAATATAATTCCCTCCCCCCCATCAATAAGATCTGCTGTCATTCGTCCTATAAGGTTACTCCTCCACCTTTATAAGCTGGGATATTTAACCTTAATTGTGTATGCTATATGGTGTCTCTTGATAAGCCCAGTAGTCCATTCACATGCCGTTCATTATGCTATAGTAATCTGTTGTCTCTCTTGGCGTATTCAAGTTGTTAAAATGTATTTATTCTTATTTCTAATTAAACAGTATGTTATATACATCAATGTATATCAGATAATGAGTCACATGTCATGCAGGCTTACAGTACTTGTCTTTACTTACTCTGTTTGTGCATGTATGTGTGTTAGTAAATTGTACAGTGTATATGTAATGTTTTCAAAAGTGGAGAATGCATGTATTCAAAAAATTTGCATGAAACTATGTATACTTACGAGTCCTGTAAATTTTCATACATAAACCTAGACTATCTGTTCTCCCTTGATCTAATCTTAACTGACTTACCACAGAAATCAGTTATCTGTTTTCATGTATACTTTGTTTCACAAATTGCTTATTTAGGTTTCATTTGCAAATTTAAGCTTGAATCTACATCCCAGAGTATGGTTACATTTAATTGTTACTTGTGAATGTGTTATTGATGAGTTACATTCCAGAGTATGGTAACATCTAATTGTTACTTGTGAATGTGTTATTGATGAGTTACATTCCAGAGTATAGTAACTTTTAATTGTTACTTGTGAATGTGTTATTGATGAGTGACATTCCATAGATAGGCTCCCTCTTCATTTAATTGGAAGTTTATTTGTTGTGTTTATCACCTCATGAACAGCCAGGGTCAGTAATGTGAAGAACAATAACTCTTAAAGCAGAATTTACAGTATTTCCTTCTTCAGAATGATAGTTACCTTTGACATTTCATTAAATACTTTTAGAAAATGACCTTTGACATCACCTTCAGTGATGACTTTTGCCATGACCTTGACCTATGATGTTTTACCTTGTCTTGGCAATGATCTTGGAATGTACATTTTAGAACATGATTGACATATTAGAGAAATTTGACGGGTAGAAACTTCTCTGATAAATGAAAGAATGAAGTAAAATACCATCATAGATGATACCTGCATTCTAGTTTCCTAAAAATTTGTTGAAGTTTTTGTTGTGAAACCTTAGACATTGCAATCTGCTCCACAAAGAGAACATAAGGAGGTTGTAAGTGATGCAGAGGAGGATAGCTTACACATCTACTAAATATTAGTTGTCATGCTAGGAAGGATTGATCACATGGCAGGCAGTATGGCATATCAGTTCCTGAATTGGATTTAGAAAAATATTCTCGCCTCATGCATAATCATTGTTTGTTACTGTCTGCAGGCAGACTGACAACAAACTCAATGGAACAAGTATTTTTATCATTGTCACCATGTGCATGATTGTAGGACAAATAAACAAAGCCTGTGAAATATATCCTGCTACAATTTTCAGTTGATATTTTTATGGTTGTACAACAATAATATGTGTATGTATATAGAATCAGTTATTATTTGTGCTGTAGCTTTCATTTGTCGTTGCAATGATACCAGTCTAGTTTGTTGTGATTGTTTTCTTGAAATCTATTATGTCTGGAGAGCGTTGTCTTGTTTCATCAGTTTTTGTTATGTTTACTCTCAAAGGAAAATATTGTCTTACCTGATGGTAGAATGGGATAGAAATGGAATACCAGTTAAATCTTCGAAATCTAAGCAGTATACCAATCAACATATGTCAAGGTCTGTTTTATTCCCGGAAGGAATGCATTGTAACTGAAATCTGACACCAGTGACACCTGAAAAGCATTCTATGATATAGAATATATATTTGTATATATTCTACAATAAGGAAAACCAAAATGACAGCAATTATCACAGGAGGTTAAGGAAATAAAGAAAGTGGTTACTTCTATCAGGATTAGGTCATAAACAAGAGTTCTCTGGGTGTGCCAGGGTGTGGAATAGAGTCTCTGCTACCTCTAGATTGGTCTTTCCAGGATTTTTCTGTTTTGATTTTTCACTTTTTCATCTCGCTCTAGATATTATTGTGAGGAGGCTTTTTATTTTGTTTCTGTTTTGTTTTGTATTTGTCTGCTTTTTATATTTAAATGTCCAAATGAAAGCATTTGAATGACATTTCAGACAACCTGACGTTATAGTTATTATTCATTTTTTCAAAATAATCTTATTTACTGAAGTTCTTCAGTTGTAGGGGTTAAAGGAAATTAATTCACTTCTTTGTGGATGAGGAAAATGAAAATGAAATGTAAATCTTTGTGGTAAGAGGGACAAATTTTTAACGAAGGTTTATCCGTCTTGACCTGAAACAGATTTTTTTAGGAAAAGCATATTCCAAGTTGCATAAAAATTATCCACATATATTCAGATGAAAGGATATTGGTCGACAATAACGGTCAATCGCAGAATCCTTACACACCTGAGCAGACAACACACTGGCCACCTAAGGAACCAGTCGATGCACCAACCTATCGCTCCATAGAAATGCAGCAGTCTACCTCGTACCAGGCAAAGCCTTTTGACGAAAGTAAGATTTCAGTAGACGATTTCCTGAAATTTAGAATATCATCCCTTTTCACTTCACTGGTTAGTTGCCTCATTTTGCACTTGATTGTTATGGAATATATAAGCCCACCATCTGATGATGGTTAGCTATTCAAATTGCCCTGGGTCCGCAGTCTGTCATCTGTCCATCCAAAAACAGTATTTGTTATCACTATTTCTTAAAAAAAGCACTCAATGGATCACTCTCAAATTTCATATGTGTGTTTCCTTTGGGCTCTAGTTGTGCCCATGTAATTTTGGGACTGATCAGACAAACAAGATGGTCGACAGATGACCATCTTGGATTTTGACTTTGAAAATTGTCATCGCTATTTTTTGAGAAGTACTGGATGCATCTTTCAGAAATTTCATATGTAGGTTTCTCTTTTTGCCTAGTTGTGCCTATTCAATATTGGGACTTATCAGAAAAACAAAATGGCCAACAGGCAGCCATCTTGGATTTTGTCGAGTAAAGATTGTTAGCCCTATTTCCTAAGAAGTACTGAAAAGATATCTGTCAAATTTCCTTCTTATGTTCCCTTTGTTCTCTCCTTGAACCGATTTGATTTTGGGATTGATCAGAAGAAACAAAATGTCTTCAAGGTTGCCATTTTGGATTCGGCAGGTTAAGATTATCATCACTATTTCTGTAAAGGAATGTTCAAATGTCTTATCATTAAGAGCAAAAACAGAAAAGAGAAGAAAAAAGAAGGGAAAAGAGCTAACTTTCAAAGAGCAAATAAAGATCAAACAATGGAAGGATCTCTCTGGGATCTCGTTTGACATTAAGCATGCCTGTTGAAGGAAAGGTCAAATTTCACTTTGTAAAAATGCCAACAAGCGAATTATAAATTTGATCTCTTTGTTCTGCAGTAAACCTGCCTGTCAAGAAAGGTCTCTGAGTCTGAATTGTTGACCCCTAAAACCTATTAACAGAATTAATCATATATTTATTATTTCCCTTTCAAGATGTTTCCATTTCTTGATGCTTCACTAATTAAGTGTTATCTTCAGACTGTGTGATTTATGATAGGAAAGTTCAGGTGTCCTTATTGCTTGTTAGGTTTTGCCAATTACAACATTTTGATTGTAACTGTAGGGTGAGGAACAAGCTATCATTAAAAATCTCCTTTGGCTTTTGAACATGATCTCTGCTCTTATCGTATTTTTGTGTGTACATGTAAAATGCCTGATGTGAGTTTATTAATCTGAGAATAATGTGTGCTTGCCTTAAAATAAACTTAACATTTCATTAGCAGGCATTTAATATTACCATGGGCCATAACACAAAAAAACCTGTACATATTGACCTCATTACCATGGTAACCAGTTTCGTTGAAATGGGTTCACATGTTTAGGCAGAAAGACAAACAAGCTGATTCCAGAATACTCCCCCCACCACTAACTTAGTTCAGTAAGAAACAGCAATCTATAATTGGTATTATGATACTGGTGATATCACATCAGTATGGACTGTGCAATTTTTTCCTCCCCGGAGAATTTGGTTGCTTTTTTAACAAGGTCACTGTAACAAGTGAGTGGCTGGTTTCAGACAATCATTTGTTTGCCAATACAAAAGTAAATATGCTGTACTTAATGAGGAATCATACCAGCCTTTAAAACGGTTCAGTGTTATTATCGATTTCCTACTCAGTGGTTCTGAAATCAATGGTCAGGTTATAATGTACCTGGTGATATAGTTTGACATTGTTAGATCTATCCTTAGCAACAATGGCCGACAACAACAGGTCTATTAAACATACAGATTGTGCATACCAATGCTTTCTTTGTATCTGTATTGATGTCACTGTAATGCTACCAGTGGTGACATAGCTGGTAAATTGTAGCCATCATGGTGTCCATTTCTGTAATGACCGACAAACAGCCATATTACTGTTTTCCTCTGAAGATACTTTAACTGATTAAACTGTACTATTTTGTAATTAGTGTTTTCCAGACATTCCTATTTGCTTGTGCTTGAATTTTCTGTAGACTTAAAATGAATAAGGCACTGAAACCGAGGTTTATGGTATCTATTTTTAGAAACAAACGTGACCAATGTTGCTATAGACAAAAAAAAAATCGTACAACTACTTGATTTAACCATTGTTGAGATATGAGTATATTTTATGTTGAAAGACACAAACCTGACTGAGTTTGATGTTGAGAGAAACAAACCTGACTGAGTTTGATGTTGAGAGAAACAAACCTTACTGTGTTTGATGCTGGGAGAAACAAGCCTGACTGAGTTTGATGTTGAGAGAAACATACCTGACTGAATTTAATGTTGAGAGAAACAAGCCTGACTGAATTTAATGTTGGGAGAAACATACCTGACTGAATTTGATGCAGAAAGAAACAAACCTGACTGAGTTTGATGCTGGGAGCAACAAACCTGACTGAGTTTGATGCTGAGAGAAACCAACCTGACTGAGTTTGATGTTGAGAGAAACAAACCTTACTGTGTTTGATGCTGGGAGAAACAATCCTGACTGAGTTTGATGTTGAGAGAAACAAGCCTGACTGAATTTAATGCTGAGAGAAACAATCCTGACTTAGTTTGGCACTGGGAGCAACAAACCTGACTGAGTTTGATGCTGGGAGAAACAAACCTGACTGAGTTTGATGTTGAGAGAAACATACCTGACTGAATTTAATGCTGAGAGAAACAATCCTGACTGAGTTTGATGTTGAGAGAAACAATCCTGACTGAATTTAATGCTGAGAGAAACAATCCTGACTGAGTTTGATGTTGAGAGAAACATACCTGACTGAATTTAATGCTGAGAGAAACAAGCCTGACTGAGTTTGATGTTGAGAGAAACATACCTGACTGAATTTAATGCTGAGAGAAACAATCCTGACTGAGTTTGATGTTGAGAAAAACAAACCTGACTGAGTTTGATGCTGGGAGCAACAAACCTGACTGAGTTTGATGCTGGGAGCAACAAACCTGACTGAGTTTGATGTTGAGAGAAACAAACCTTACTGTGTTTGATGCTGGGAGAAACAATCCTGACTGAGTTTGATGTTGAGAGAAACAAACCTGACTGAATTTAATGCTGAGAGAAACAATCCTGACTGAATTTAATGCTGAGAGAAACAATCCTGACTGAGTTTGATGTTGAGAGAAACAATCCTGACTGAATTTAATGCTGAGAGAAACAATCCTGACTGAGTTTGATGTTGAGAGAAACATACCTGACTGAATTTAATGCTGAGAGAAACAAGCCTGACTGAGTTTGATGTTGAGAGAAACATACCTGACTGAATTTAATGCTGAGAGAAACAATCCTGACTGAGTTTGATGTTGAGAGAAACAAACCTGACTGAGTTTGATGCTGGGAGAAACAAACCTGACTGAGTTTGATATTGTGAGAAACAAACCTGACTGAGTTTGATGCTAAGAGAAGCAAACCTGACTGAGTTTGATGCTGGGAGCAACAAACCTGACTGAGTTTGATGCTGAGAGAAACATACCTGACTGAGTTTGATGCTGGGAGCAACAAACCTGACTGAGTTTGATGCTGGGAGCAACAAACCTGACTGAGTTTGATGCTGTGAGCAACAAACCTGACTGAGTTTGATGCTGGGAACAACAAAATCCTAACTGAGGGAGACGGAATTGGCTATGATTGTATTGAGATATGTTAATTTATGCGATTTAGATAAAGCAGGTGTGTGAGAAGGATATGTTAATCAGTGGTGCGTTTCTAAATTCAGGTTCCTGGCTCGACAATGACATTTATCAGTGTTTATAATGCAATTAACTTCTGATCTGAAAATCTTCATTGTTTCTATTGTTGTGGCACCTGAAAAATGTCAGGGGTGCTGAATTCACAACTACTAGGTGGACACTAAAAAATCTTACCCTGTCAGATTTTGACAGCAGCTAGAGAGCTTAGCTTGACAAGATGTTTTGTTTGGTTTATCACTTTTCTTGAAAATCACGGGTAATGTTGAAATTAGGTCACCTTGTAGTAGCTGATGACAACGTGAATGATAAACCGCAAACCGATACACTGCTATCTCAACTGTTAACAGCTAACCAGTTCACTGATATCTCAACTCTTAACAGCTAAACAGTTCACTGATATCTCAACTCTTAACAGCTGACCAGTTCACTGATATCTCAACTCTTAACAGCTAACCAGTTCACTGATATCTCAACTCTTAACAGCTAACCAGTTCACTGCTATCTCAACTCTTTAACAGCTAACCAATTAACTCTTATGTTAGCTCTTTACCACTATGCAGTACATTGCTGTGTGTGACCAATTCACTGTTATGTCAACTCTTTACTGCTAATCACTACACTCCTACATGTACATCAATTCTAAACAATCATCGTAATGATCTCATTGGGAAATACCGTCTTTCCTGTTGCCATATAAAGTCGGATGTAGACTTACTAGTATATCCGTTTGTTCTGTTGTTTTTTAACCATATTCTTATTATTTAGAAATATAACATTACTTAATTGGATTGACTAAGATTTATGTAGTGAATGTCGTCTATGAAGTAGAAGACAATTTTTATTTCAGAACACATGGTCTTATTCTTCTTGTACAGTTTTTTAACATATTGCCCATGTTTTATTGAATTTGAGTTTGGATTATGATTCTGTTGACATCTTTTTGTTTTTTAACATCTAACAAATTGACTGCTATCTCATCTCCAAGCCACTAACCAAATTCTGAGTATATTCACTGACTAAACACACTTGCTGTTAAATTCACCAAATTGATGTCTTAATTTTTCATCCACATTATCTGTTGGTTCACTTTAAAGGAATTAGAGTATTTGTTGAAAGGTAGTATTGTCACGTGTAAGAGAGTATTTGTTTGTAATGCTTTTTCCTTGTCCTGACTACAAGTTATATAATGTCATGTCCTGCATAAGGTATCAGGTATATACACATTTTCAATAGGTTATGAATGATAAATAAAACAGGGCACTATTACATAAACTGCTATTTTCATGCACTTGAACAAAGATGGACCGTTTAATTTATCCTGAATTAAGTGAATTGTATTTTGAAAAGATAACATACTAAAAGAAAACAAAAACTGAAAAATACATCCCACAATAATTCTATCTTAAATTTTCATTAGAAGATTTTATGATTTATTTCGATATATTTTCAATTTCTTTGGTCTTGCATTGTATTTAGCCCTATTTCTTTAATCAGAATCAATAAACATCCATTTTATTAAATCACACTTTTTATTTGGCTTAAATCCTTCAAAAAAGGGTAGGAACATGTGTATTTTTCTAGAAACTTTGATAGTCTGATATAGTATTGATTTGTACTTTATTAGCCTGAATAACCAGATACCACTTTTATGGGATACCACTTCTATGGGATACCCTTCTATGGGAAACCCCTTTTTTGGGATATCCCACCTAAGGGATACCCGTTCTATGGGATATCCCTTCTTTGGGATACCCCTTCTATGGGATACACCTTTTTTGGGATATCCCACCTAAGGGATACCCCTTCTATGGGATACCCCTTCTTTGGAATACCCCTTCTGTGGGATACCCCTTCTTTAGAACTGGCAACACTTGTCAAACTTATTTATGTATATATTATTGTTTACAGGCAAACAACGGAACACTTATGCTTACAATGAAGAAGAGGCTTCCCTGGGATGTTGTGGATGTATCCTGTGGGGATTTTCTATTTTCTTATTCGTAATATTCCTACCTTTCTCCCTCTGCATCTGTATGAGCGTGAGTACCGGTTATTGTGTATTCTCATTGTTAATTTTGATAAAGATAAATCTCATTTCTTTTACATTTTGATAGTGCTCTGATTGTCTGTGTAGTCTCAAACAAAAACCAGCTGACATTTATACCTTAACATAAAAAATTCTGACACTGTGTAGTCTCAAAAAACAGATGACATTTATACTTTAACATAACAAATTCTGACACTGTGTAGTCTCAAAAAACAGCTGACATTTATACCTTAACATAAAAAATTCTGACACTGTGTAGTCTCAAAAAACAGCTGACATTTATACCTTAACATAACAAATTCTGACACTGTGTAGTCTCAAAAAACAGCTGACATTTATACCTTAACATAACAAATTCTGACACTGTGTAGTCTCAAAAAAAAACCCAGCTGACATTTATACCTTAACATAACAAATTCTGACACTGTGTAGTCTCAAAAAACAGCTGACATTTATACCTTAACATAAAAAATTCTTACAATTGAAATGTCTGTTTTTACAAAACATTGATGTTACTCTGCTTGTTTCATATGGAAATATAGTTCTAGACATTAAGGCATAGAAAGGATTTTTTTAAAACTTTTCCAAAAGCAAATTGTTTAAACAGTTATTCATATCTTAAATATGATATTTGTGTAAGTTACTGCACTTGCTAATTTTTTTTCCATTATTGCCAGAAAAGGCTAATAATACAAGCAACATTTGCAGGATTAATGGAAACAATGTATTTCTCAGTTCCATATTTATACAGCCCCTTTGTATATCTGTAAGGAAATATCACTGTGTTTTGAGATATATTTATATAATTCTCATGTATATCTATAAGGAAATAAACAGCACATTTTTTACTTGCTTTCCAATGAATACAAGTATTTATTAAATGTGGAAGGTGATATTCTTTAGACTGGAGGAAAGTATTACCTGGTCAGTAAACCCTAGTATGCACCTGAAAACAAGTCTACAATAGTTTTCGTTTTTTTTAATATGACAACAAATTGTACATCTGATTGGTAAAAAATTACTGGATTGTTATATTCACCTGTGAGATGCCTGATGGAGATTTGGACGGATATGTTCACCATACATATACAGATTCTTGCCGCCGGTTTCTGTGTAACATCAAAATATAATTAGGTCTATGAGAGGTCTTTTGTCATATTCTGTTTTCCTGTGCTACAGGCCGTTTACACTTCTGCTTTAGAATCTTAATAAATTGCCAGATCTGGATTATTCAGAGAAGATTCTTATGTAAATCTGTTTTGATTATGAACTCGTTTGACCGTTTATGAAATCTGGAGATGACAACAAATTGATGTCATTAACTTTCAAAGATCCTTTTGTAGCTGTAGAGCCAGTATGACTCAAAACTGACATGGAACATTTCATTTTCTGTCATACATCTACATGTACATTGTATTAGCAATGAGTAATAGCTCATTTTTATTTCTTAGGTGATTCTAGAATTGTTCAAAATTTTTCATGATGGCTTGCTTCATCTTCCCTCTCCACAGACTAAGTGAAAAGAAAAATTCTTGTTTGATAAATCTCCTGCGAAATGGAAAACAGAGAGTGACTTTTCAAGATTTTGTGACATCTTGTATTCATTTGAGTTTTTATTAAATCAACTCATTGTCTTCTGACTACATTTACAACATAAATAAGCTCTCAGTTTCTGTCTTGACTAGGAGCTGCACCAGGTGGTATGGCATTATCTCACCGCTTAATCTCCGTTGGATGAATTTGACTATGACATTGATATAATCTTTGTCTGCTTACAGATGGTGCAAGAATATGAAAGAGCTGTGATATTTAGGTTGGGACGAATCAAGGCTGGCGGAGCGCAAGGGCCAGGTAAATTTGAACTTGTAGTCAAGAATATTTTGAAATTGCATACCAATTGGAAAAATGATGTCTTATCCTGGCAGTAGATTTACTACAAACATTATATAAAAGGACATATGTGACATAAAAATCTTCTTGGTAGTATGCTTGTAAGTATGTATTTATCTGACAGTAAGTGATAAGCATAACCAGAAAAAGTGACCAGTATTTCTTTGTCCCACACCGACCACAAGGGTCCTGAATTTCTGTATTGTCCTTAGGGTTATGCATTATTTCTGTGTTGTCCCCAGGGTATGCACTATTTCTGTGTTGACCCCAGGGTATGCACTATTTCTGTGTTGTCCTCAGGGTATGCACTATTTCTGTGTTGTCCTCAGGGTATGCACTATTTCTGTGTTGTCCCCTGGGTATGCACTGTTTCTGTGTTGTCCCCAGGTTATGCACTATTTCTGTGTTGTCCCCTGGGTATGCACTGTTTCTGTGTTGTCCCCAGGGTATGCACTGTTTCTGTGTTGACCCCAGGGTATGCACTATTTCTGTGTTGTCCTCAGGGTATGCACTGTTTCTGTGTTGACCCCAGGGTATGCATTATTTCTGTGTTGTCCTCAGGGTATGCACTATTTCTGTGTTGTCCCCTGGGTATGCACTGTTTCTGTGTTGTCCCCAGGGTATGCACTATTTCTGTGTTGTCCTCAGGGTATGCACTATTTCTGTGTTGTCCCCTGGGTATGCACTATTTCTGTAATGTCCCTGGGTATGTACTATTTCTGTGTTGTCCCCAGGGTATGTACTATTTCTGTGTTGTCCCCTGGGTGATATGTTTGTTGTCTTCAGGGTATGCACTATTTCTGTGTTGTCCCCAGGGTATTTCTGTGTTGTCCCCTGGGTATGCACTATTTCTGTGTTGTCCCCAGGGTATGTACTATTTCTGTGTTGTCCCCTGGGTGATATGTTTGTTGTCCACTGGGTGATATGTTTGTTGTCCCCTGGGTATGCACTATTTCTGTGTTGTCCCCTGGGTATGTCCTATTTCTGTGTTGTCCCCAGGGTATGCACTATTTCTGTGTTGTCCCCTGGGTGATATGTTTGTTGTCCCCTGGGTATGTACTATTTCTGTGATGTCCCCTGGGTGATATGTTTGTTGTCCCCTGGGTGATATGTTTGTTGTCCCCAGGGTGATATGTTTGTTGTCCCCTGGGTGATATGTTTGTTGTCCCCAGGGTGATATGTTTGTTGTCCCCTGGGTGATATGTTTGTTGTCCCCTGGGTGATATGTTTGTTGTCCCCTGGGTGATATGTTTGTTGTCCCCTTGGTTAAAAGTGTGTTGTCCCCTGGGTGATATGTTTTGACCTGTTTAAGACAACTGATTATCTGAATTTTGTTGTATTTCAGGTATGTTTTTTGTCCTGCCCTGTATTGATGACATACAAAAGGTGGATTTGAGGACAAAGACATTCAACATCCCGCCACAGGAGGTAGATTTAGTTTGATCAGTTACATAAATCACTTATTCAATCAATGTTCCCTCACATATGATTCCAAATAACAGTGTTTATTTCTTTCCTCGTAGATCCTATCAAAGGACACAGTGACAGTGACAGTAGATGCTGTTATATACGCCTCTGTGTTTGACCCTGTCTTGTCTGTGTGTAATGTTACGAATGCCATGCAAGCGACAACCCTCTTGTCAGCCACCACCCTGAGGAACGTACTGGGTACACACTCAATGGCTGAAATGTTACAAGAAAGGGAGTCCATTGCTACAACCATGCAGGTATGTGTAATTATAACTGGCCTGGACAGTGACCAGTTACAAGTCTTGGAATATGTAACCTGAAGCATTCTTAGCAATCCATGAAAGATTTCTAATAAAACTATTAACATGAAATTTAAGGATTTCTTCAATGGAAGGGAAAATACCTTGTGAAGATTCAATGGGTTTGGATAGATCCCTACCTCAGGCAGGTTCAAAATATAACATCCTCCCCACCCCGTCCCCCTCTTTGACCCACTTGATATTTACCAGGATTCCTGACTTTCAAGTGTTGTCCTACTGAAAATAAAGCTTATCATTTGCACCCTTCCATTACAAAACTTTTAATCAGGGAAATATTTCTGAACCAAAACCGATTCAGATCAAATTTTCTCAGATTTTACCATGGATTATGATATAGATATACTGATTGTGGACTAGGGATCATAGATGTGACTCCCCTTGATCGCAGAATGACTGTCTGGGTTGTCTTAAGGAAATTTAATATTATTCCTGAGCTTGGTTCTTTAGAAAAAGTTTAGGTTCTTTAAACAAACTATTATTTATGCTCTGTTCTATTGGTAAAAGTGATTGATATTACTTGTTATTGATTCATTGATTTCATTCTTTTACATTTTTAGAGCTTGTTAGACGAAGCAACAAACCAGTGGGGAATCCGAGTTGAACGTGTGGAAATGTAAGTGGCAAATTTTAATTGAAGTAATTTCATATGTGATCGTTACCCTTGATTTTTATTTGGAAATAGTGAAGTAATAGTATTGAAACAAGCTCTCCTGCTGTAAATTAGTCACTATTATTTTTTCTCCATCATTCTATCTTGTTGGTGTTGTGATATCACACTGATATCCTCGTGAAAACGTGAAATCTGTGATGAAATTTTTTTTCTGCTGTATTTAGAAAAGACGTACGATTGCCCAACATGTTGCAGCGTGCTATGGCTGCGGAGGCTGAGGCAGCCAGAGATGCTAAAGCCAAGGTAATAAGCTTGTTATTTCTTTACTGGTTGGTGTCCTCAATATTTTTACTGGATGCTCTCTTGTAATTCATGTATCTAAAATCTCATACTGCAAGGTTAAGACAAAATTGAAGCATTAATATTTTCTGAATCTTGTCAACAAATGATATTTTATAGAGTCAGAAAGTTGGTACTGTTTATGAATAACATCAGCATAGAAAAATTGTTACAAAAATTTCAATATTGTTAAGATTTTAAAAGAAGTATAGGATGGTTTTGATCAAGAATTTCAATTGTTATGCAATGATCCTAAGGTAAAGTCTCTGTTAAATTTGACACTGCCCTGATTTGTACAAACCAAACACAATATTATATAGTTGGATCTGTCAACTGGGACTGACTTCCACCTTTTATGGTGTTACAAAGCTGTAGTTTTTTAGGTGTCAGCACGATAATTTTTGGTATCAGAACAAGATACTGTATCTATTATAACAAAGAAATACATTCTTATCACACAGGTATTGGCTGCTGAAGGTGAACAGATGGCCTCTCGTGCCCTCAAGGAAGCTGCTGACATCATTTCTTCATCACCCACTGCCCTCCAGCTCCGCTACTTACAGACTCTTAGCACAGTAGCTGCAGAAAGAGAGTCTACCATCTTGTTCCCAATCCCAATAGATTTGATGAAAGGAATGGGAAAAGGTGGTGCAGTCCGCATGTGATCAAATCATTGTACTCAGAGAGTGGTTTTTAAATAACAAAACATTTAATTCTAATTCATGTAAATATAGGCTGTAACTTTCTGCAATACACTGTATCTTACCGAGATATTTAAGTAAGTTGGTGCATAATAGCGAAATGCTGTTAGAAAATTGAAAGATAGCAGGATTGCAGTGTCTTCAGATAAAGGGCAATAGCTTCTGAAATTGAGAGAAAAGTGTTTTGTTTAATTAAATGGAAAAAAACAATAAATGACAAACTTTTTTGTGTGATCACCACTATTCCACCAGTGACCTTTTGACCTTGATCCCCATACCATTTGTACTTCAATCAATCAGCAGTGCCTCTTGCTCATTACAAAAGCCTTACAGAAGAGAGCATCAGCTGAAGAGTATTTGTAACATACAAGATTCCTTTTGTCACTGTGTGATGTATAGATGTATATAAACTAACACCATGTTAATTTGACTATTAAATAGGTGTATGATATGTAGATAACATTTGTAATATCTTCAGTATCATTCCACATTATTTGTATTGTTTGTTTAGTGGATAAGTATGAACTATGTATATTTTTGTAAACACATTGTAAAATACATTTGATAAAATTCATACATTGAATAAGTGTTACTTAGTCTAGAACAATTCTATTTCGCATTGACTTTCAAATGAAAGTAAATGAATTTATTTGTAACACTGGTGAGAAAGAAGCAGTTTCTAGACTTTTCTCTTTGGCTCAGTCAGCAAAACAGTCGATCTTTTGTTTCAATCTCTGGCGGAGGTTTTGAAAAAACCAGGGACTTTGTTTTTTGCTTTTCATATGTTGAATTTCATTTTGTATTATGTGAACATGACATGTTCTTACATACCAGGTAAAAACTCCAAAATAATTTAGTTTTAGTTTCCATCAAAATTTGATATTATTCTGACACCTTTCACCGAGATAAGGTTATTTTCTTGGTAAGGATTTACTGTGATACCTTTTTTACTCTTCACTGTGTAGTAGTATTCAATGTAGAAATAAAACAAATTAAAACCAGGTGTTGATGACTTGTTTTATATCACGGAAAACAAAAACTTCACGACATGTTAGTGCTACAAAAACTTCATGACATGTTGGTGCTACAAAAACTTCATGACATGTTAGTACTACAAAAACTTCATGACATGTTAGTGCTACAAAAACTTCATGACATGTTGGTGCTACAAAAACTTCATGACATGTTGGTACTACAAAAACTTCATGACATGTTAGTGCTACAAAAGCTTCATGACATGTTGGTGCTACAAAAACTTCATGACAAGTTAGTACTACAAAACCTTCATGACATGTTGGTGCTACAAAAACTTCTTGACATGTTGGTGCTACAAAAACTTCATGACATGTTGGTACTACAAAAATTTCATGACATGTTGGTGCTACAAAAACTTCATGACATGTTAGTACTACAAAAACTTCATGACATGTTGGTACTACAAAAACTTCATGACATGTTAGTGCTACAAAAACTTCATGACATGTTGGTGCTACAAAAACTTCATGACATGTTGGTGCTACAAAAACTTCATGACATGTTGGTGCTACAAAAACATCATGACATGTTGGTGCTACAAAAACTTCATGACATGTTGGTGCTACAAAAACTTCGTGACATGTTAGTTCTACAAAAACATCGTGACATGTTAGTACTACAAAAACTTCGTGACATGTTAGTACTACAAAAACTTCACGACATGTTAGTACTACAAAAACTTCATGACATGTTGGTACTACAAAAACTTCATGACATGTTAGTGCTACAAAAACTTCATGACATGTTGGTGCTACAAAAACTTCATGACATGTTAGTGCTACAAAAACTTCGTGACATGTTAGTTCTACAAAAACTTCATGACATGTTGGTGCTACAAAAACTTCGTGACATGTTAGTTCTACAAAAACATCGTGACATGTTAGTACTACAAAAACTTCGTGACATGTTAGTACTACAAAAACTTCATGACATGTTGGTGCTACAAAAACTTCATGACATGTTGGTGCTACAAAAACTTCATGACATGTTGGTGCTACAAAAACATCATGACATGTTGGTGCTACAAAAACTTCATGACATGTTGGTGCTACAAAAACTTCGTGACATGTTAGTTCTACAAAAACATCGTGACATGTTAGTACTACAAAAACTTCGTGACATGTTAGTACTACAAAAACTTCGTGACATGTTAGTACTACAAAAACTTCACGACATGTTAGTACTACAAAAACTTCATGACATGTTGGTACTACAAAAACTTCATGACATGTTAGTGCTACAAAAACTTCATGACATGTTGGTGCTACAAAAACTTCATGACATGTTAGTGCTACAAAAACTTCGTGACATGTTAGTTCTACAAAAACTTCATGACATGTTGGTGCTACAAAAACTTCGTGACATGTTAGTTCTACAAAAACATCGTGACATGTTAGTACTACAAAAACTTCGTGACATGTTAGTACTACAAAAACTTCGTGACATGTTAGTACTACAAAAACTTCACGACATGTTAGTACTACAAAAACTTCATGACATGTTGGTACTACAAAAACTTCACGACATGTTAGTGCTACAAAAACTTCATGACATGTTGGTGCTACAAAAACTTCATGACATGTTAGTGCTACAAAAACTTCGTGACATGTTAGTTCTACAAAAACTTCATGACATGTTAGTGCTACAAAAACTTCGTGACATGTTAGTTCTACAAAAACTTCATGACATGTTAGTGCTACAAAAACTTCATGACATGTTAGTACTACAAAAACTTCGTGACATGTTAGTTCTACAAAAACTTCATGACATGTTAGTGCTACAAAAACTTCATGACATGTTAGTACTACAAAAACTTCGTGACATGTTAGTACTACAAAAACTTCATGACATGTTGGTGCTACGTTTCTTCCTTATCAATAAGACAATCAGTACTTCATGAATGACAGCTAACTGACACAGAAGGTCGAGATCAGTAATAGAAATGGACACAAGATTGTGAAGTATCAAAAACCAACATTAAATACAATAAGCAGTGCTAAAACAGTAGTCCAAGGGAGATAATTCTTGTTGAAATGGCAAAATATGACCGTCTGAGTCGATTTCATTCAACTTCGTTTCAAAGGGATGTATTTATGACAAAAATAAAAGACACGGCTTTTTCTGATGAAGGAATACTAATTCATTTTGACATAAATGATAGGTAGATCAAGGAAATTCAGTATTGACTGAGGTAACTCTGTAGCACCAATCCTTATCCACATCCATATCTGTCCAGTTTCGTACAGAAGCCTCCAGCTTGTTACAAAGCAATCTCAAGTGTAAAATTGTTACCTAAAACTTGTAGACTTTTAAAACAATTGACAGAGAAAGACTGGCATATTCCAGTGAGAAACGTCTCCGGGGAAAAGAAATGTCTTATTTGTGAATTTATAGGAAAGTTTCGGTCAATGTGGCCACAAATAGGGATCATCATACTGTATCGCGAGGAACTGATATCTATTATCGCTGACCGCAATGATCATGTAACTGTATCACGTGATACTGACGTCTAGTATCGCTGACCACAATGATCATGTGACTGTATCACGTGAGACTGACGTCTAATATCGCTGACCACAATGATCATGTGACTGTATCACGTGATAGTGATATCTAGTATCGCTGACCACAATGATCATGTGACTGTATCACGTGATAGTGATATCTAGTATCGCTGACCACAATGATCATGTTACTGTATCACGTGATACTGATGTGCCTAAAAAGAGGTGAAAATAAATATTATCTGACCAAAGAATTAGTTTAAAACAATCTCACCGTTTTGTTGTCTAATTTTCATTATTTCATAAACTTATTCGACTTTTTTACATATTTATCATTTGCGACTTTCGAGTACAATTTATATATATGTATTATCAGCTTTAAAAATAATGAGGATTCAACAATGAAACGATTTCAAATCGAGACTGAGTATATTGACAAGAATCCGCCAAGAACAGTTCTTGGCGGATTCTTGTCAATATAGCTAGTTACTGGCTGTGTTATATCGTATGGGGCTACTTACCCTGAATCAAAAACATTGATACACAATACAAATCATTAAAACACGTGGCGGAATTACTGTACTGAGCAGGCGTGTGTTTTACACAATTTTGTCACGATATGCTGTTTCTAAATCAACGTGTATTAAACCTGTGATGGCAATAATTTGTTTCTCTGTTTAAACTATTTAACATATGAGGGTTAGCGACTGGCCGAAATTACAGCAATCCGGTAGACTGCTGGAAATAAGAGGGCTACTCGACACGCTGAAATTCGAGTCGAGCTTTATTGCAAAAATGATGAATTAATAATGAACATGAAATTGATAGTATTTATTGATATTATTGTATTCAAAATAAGTCTCATCCTGATATATCAGAGTTACTTCCCTTCATTTAACTGCGCCATTGCATTTTTAATTAAGGAAGAGTTGCTTCCCTTACAACATTATGTACCACTATTGCTTAGAGCCTAAATATTCCAATTTAAGAAGCACCTGACAAGAATCCAAAGCGACGGAAAGAAATCTCATAATCTAGATGGGGAGGTGCATTAGTCACATGATTCAATATAGGACCTTTTTTCGGGAACAAAGGAATTATCTACACACGAACCATATAAACTTTGCTGAGTGTTAACTCTAGCAGCTTGAGGGAAAACCATGTGTTTAAACATTCCAAAAAGCCACCAAGACCTGTGAATGTTAAGTGCCGGGAATCATGGACGTACGACAGGGTTCACAATTTTATCCAAGAAGCCATAACAACTAGTGAAATATATGAAATTATCTTATTTTTGAAAAAGTAGGAATTACTGAAAATTATGATCGCGAACAGGTATGAAATATATTGCAAAATAAAAGACTCAAACTCGAACATAGTCATATGGCCGTTTAAATTTTAGAAACATACCTTTCTGAATTCTGACCTTCAAATGACAATTTTACTGGTTCTCAAATTTTTTTTAAATTTCACCACAGGCTCTTTACGTAATACGCCCATTAATATATAAATAATGGTGTACGATAACCGGAAGTAGGAGCACTGCTGCCATTTAAAATTGTCATATCTAAAAATGAGCCTTACATTTCAACACTATTCGTGTTTAAAAATTTATTAACTTTATTAAGCGATAGGCCGTAATTTCGGACGTAAAAGCCGTTAAATAAATATATAAATAAATAAAGGCTGTTCAAAATTAATTCACTTTGGTAAAAAAGTATATGTCTTATAATTAATTAAAAAAAATTATACAGCCAACCTCGATACACCAGCATTCTCGGCCCCTTCGGCTGATACACCAGCATTCTCGGCCCCTTCGGCTGTCAAGCTTATCGCTATACCATCTTCCATGTTCCAGGGGTGCAGAGAACGAAAGTGATTGTAACTCCTTGAGTATCGAGGATGCCATGGAACCTGTCATTGTAAAATTGAAGTATTTTGATTGGTTCCGGGAGAAAAAAAGCTGACCAATTACAGGCTGATACGCTCCCTTTGAAGATTACAATGATGGCAGTTAATTCAAAGGGGTAGTGTTTGAGATTAACACATTATTGTATCTCTGTTTTCCTGTCTGTCTGCCTGTGGCAGACATTTCAGTGACATACCACTTTTCCTACGAGATCGTCGCACCATGACAGTTACGGGGACATAAGAAATATCATAACTTCTGATTGCTCCTTAAACATTCCATTCTTCTTTCGATAAATCGTAACACACCTTTGTCGGTTTTAGAACTTCCTTAAGTGGAGGTTGAGGTGGTGGTGATGTGTGTGGAGGGGTTACTATCTTAATCAGTCATTTGCTTGTTTTCATAAGTTGTTATTTATCTATCTATCTATCTATCTATCTATCTATCTATCTATCTATCCATCCATATCCATCCATCTATCTATCTGTTATGAATCGCCGATAATATGTCGCCTTTTGCAAATTAGTGTGAGAAGGTGACGTGAAGATAATTTCA